ATAGTATTCCATGGTATAAATGTACCACAACTTTTTTATCCACTCATGTGCTGACGGGCACTTAGGCTGTTTCCAGATCTTAGCTATTGTAAATTGTGCTGCTATGAACATAGGGGTGCATATATTCTTTCTGATTGGTGTTTTGGGTTTCTGTAACTTTTAAGTGGGCTCACTTGAGAAGGAGTTGGTATATAGCTGCAAACTCATGGGTTTTGGGGATAAAAATCTCTGAATCCTGGATCTTTCCAGTTCTGTGCCCTGGGGCAGTCTTCTTAACCTCACAGAGCCTTGATTTCCTTCTCTGTAAAATGGGAATTAGAATTCTGCCTGCCTCCAAGTGGAGTTGTGAATACTAAAATTGGACACATTTTGGAGAGGAAATGAAGGTGGAAGAGGTGCCATAAAAGTGTTCTTCTCCCACCCCTGCGGATTCCATATCACTTACTGTGGGGACAGACAAAGAAAGAAAGAAAGAAAGAAAGAAAGAAAGAAAGAAAGAAAGAAAGAAAGAAAGAAAGAAAAGAGAGAGAGAGAGAGAGAGAGAGAGAGGGGAGGGAGGGAGGGAAGGGAGGGAGGAAGGGAAGGAAGGAAGGAAGGAAGGAAGGGAGGGAAGGAAGGAAGGAAGGAAGGAAGGAAGGAGAGAGAAACTGCAGTGATTCTTGGCACCTGCTAGCCTGAAGTTTCAGAGCAGAGTGGAGTCCTGCTGCTTCAACCCAGCCACGCTGTCTCGTCAGCCACAGACACCTACACTGGCCAACAGCAGGAAATCTGCACAGGCCCAGCCACAGGGAGGAGAACCAACAAGGGTTACCACCTGGTCACCATTTCAACTCTGCCTCCTCCCCTCACACCCCTGGTTATTACACTCATTTGGCCACTTTCCTATATCACTTCTCTCAGGCTTCTCCCTTCCCTTCCCAGAGCCTTAGGAATTTTTCTTAGACATCAAAAAGCCTACCCCCTCTCTGGTTCTTTGAACCGAGGCTTACTTTAGAGCAAATTACCCACTTCTTGCCATGGCTTATACCCTCAATCTCCACATAGATGCCCAAGAGAGGGTCCGAGGTGGTGCTTGCACAGCTGGGGTTATTCCATACTGTTTGCACTTCTCAGCAGACAAGGGAATACAGAGGTCTGTGCTCACCGCACACCATGCAGCACTCTGGCATCAGGGAGATGTACCTGGGCTCCTGGCAGGAGGCTCACAGGCAGAAATGGATGCCAGTGTATTGGTGTGAGTAGCAAGCACAGGCATGAGGCCCTGACTCTTGAGGCAGGGGAGGGGGAGGTCACATTAAGGAAGAGGCAAAGCAGATGGCAAGAAAGACTCACCCGCATCAGGGGGTCCCCCGCTATCTGTGCTCCTGGGCATGCAGCCCATTTCCCAGCATCAAGGCTGGTGCACTTTCCCTGTGCTCAAGACTGAGGGGCTGGGGTGAGTGGAGGACAGAGAGCAGTTGACCAGTCACTGAGGTGAGGGTGGCCACAAGCCTTCTTCTAAAAGGCAGAAGCAGTTCTCTAAATGGGAGTCTCAAAAATAGTAAAGAGCCTTGGTTTTTAGCCTATTTTATTGTTTCTTTAAAAACACACCTATGAGTGTGTGTGTGTGCATGTGTGTGTCCTCTCCTGACTGTGTTCATCAGAGAAGGCACTCTATAAAAAAAGAAAGAAAGAAAGAAAGCTGGACTCAGCAAATGGGGAGCCTGGCTTACACTGTGGGCCACGTGGTCTACGTCAGATTCACTCTGGGAAGCCCTGAGGGTGAGTGGCATTTCAAAAGATTAGCAGTCGTGCCCCAGCAGCCAGCTAGCGGGCTGGATGAGTGCTCCTCGGTGCGATGTGACATATGCCATATGTGGTAAGAGGTTGAGGATGGAGAAATCAACACTGCTTTCAAATACGAACCCCAAACTGAAAGTCTCAGGGGGAGATGCTCCAGTGGCAGTCAGTTTTTAATTGAGTTGCTTGTCAGATGAGCACCTCTGTGTGACTCTGCGTATCTGTATTGGTCAGGGTGGACTTGCTGCTACAACAAACAGCCCCTAAATCTCAGTGACTTGGCACTTATACATTTATGTCTGCCTCATATTCCAGTCTGATACAAGTCAGAGAAAGGGGGAGAGCTCTGTCGTTCAGCGGCCTGATCACGGCACTGCCTGGGCCCCATCGTCATGGCACCAGCTGCAGCTGTGACCCTGCAATTCATGATCAGTCCTTAAAAATTCAGTAAGAAAATCTGTATTGAGCCAGGCATTATGCTAGACACTCATATGCATCGTCTCCTTTGATCCTCACAACAACTCAGTGAAGAAGGTCCGTTGTGTCCCCCATATTACAGATGAGGAGACAAAGGCTCAGGAAAGATAAGTCACTCACTCAAGGTCACATAGCTAGTAAGTGGCAGGGCTGGATTTGAACTCAGATCTCTCCTGATCACTCCTCACAGTCCCCATGGAGGCCAGCATAGACCTTGTCTTCTCTCTGTAGGTTCCCATCTACTCCTTCTTCACCTCTATAGCAGATATGGGCAAGCTATAGCCCCTGGGCCAAATCAAGCCCAGGGTCCGTCTTTTGTTTTATTTTATTTTATTTTAATTGAAGTAAAATCCACACAAAATAAAATTGACCGTTTTAATCACTGCCTGGTTTTGAAAATAGAGTTTGATTGGGACACAGCCACGCCCACTCATTCACTGGCTGCTTCTGCACAGCAACGGCAGAGTTGAGTAGTTGAGACAGAGACCACATGGCCCACAAAGCCTGAAACATCCACTCTCCGGCCCTTTATGGGCAAGTTTCCTGGACCCTGCTTCAGGGGGTTTGGTCTGGGTTCAGGCCTTGGGAAGGTGTTCTCGGACATCTGTGTCTCCACTAGGAAACACCTCTCCTTCCGAAGGGTAAACACTCCTCCTTTGCTAGAGGCCACACTTTTACACCTCATGGGCCTACCCCCTCAGCTACCTCTGTTTCCTCCTCCTTCCCTTGTACCCTTCCCTCCCCCCCCCAC